GTGACTGGCATGCAAAAATTAGAAACAAAGAGGAAAAAGGATCACTATTTGGAAAGTACAGCCCAGGGATAGACCCTCTACCCATGATTGCTTAATAGGAATGTGCCAAGACCAACAACTTATGCACTGCAGATACCTTCTTAAATAATTATAAATGGCTTCTATCCATGTGGATCTCACCAGATGAAATACATAAGAGTCAAGTCAACTACCACTGTAGAAAGAAACAATGGAAAAGCTTAATAGAATTCAGTTGGCAAGTCTAAAATTGTAGCTGAAGAAAATGAAAACATATGCAGCAGAGCCAATGGACCACCTTGAATTTAGTGACCATTGTAAGGATAGATTCGCGGTGTTGAACACTAATGATCAAAGACCAAAAGAGATGTGGGAATGATATCAAGAACATCATCCATAAAGAAAGCAAAAGGTCTTTAAAAAGACAAGAAAGAAAGAAAAGACCAAAATGGCTGTCAGAAGAGGCTCTGAAACTTGCTTTTGAATGTAGACAAGCTAAAAAGAATGGAAGAGATGATGACACAGAAGAGCTGAACACAATATTTCAAAGGGTACCTCTAGAAGACAAAATATTATAATGAAATGCGAAAGGCCTGGAGTTAGAGAAACAAAAGGGTAGAGCATGCTTGGCATGTCTTTAAGCTGAAAAAAATGGAAGAAAATATTTATGCCTGAATTGACATATTGAAGGACTCTAGGGGGAAACTACTGAATGATGAAAGAAGCCGGAAAGAGTCTCTGGTTGCTATACAAAGAATATTCGTTCACGTTCAACCATTTCAAGGAGTGGCATTCATTCCAGAACCAGTGATAACAAAGACGTCCAAGCTGTACCGAAGACAATCGTGAAAGCAAGTGACAGAATGCCAGTTGAGATGTTTCAGCAAATGGATGCAACACTGGAAGCACTCACTCACAATGCTAAGAAATCTGAATGACAGCTACTTGGCCACCTGATTGAAAGATTCATATATATGCCCATTCCAAAGAAAGGTAATCCAGCAGAATGTAAAATGTATTAAGCAATATCATTAATACCACATGCAAATAACATTTTGCTGAACATTATTAAAAAATAGTTGTAGCAATTTATCCACAAAGAGCTACAAGATTTCAAGCCCAATTCCAAAAGGAGGTGGCATGAGGGATTATCCCTGTTGATGTTGGCTGAAAGCAAAGAGTAGCAGATGTTTGTATGTGTTTCTTTGACAACGCAAAGGTATTGGACTGTATGGATCATAAAAACTAAGAATTTCAGAACATTTCATCGAGCTCATACAGATATCTGTACATTGACTAAGAGGCAGCCACCCCACAGAATATGGGGATTCTGTGTGGTGGGTCAGGGTTGGATGCTTTTGTCGTACATGTTCAAACTGTATCCTGTACAAACAATCCAAGAAGCTGAACTATATGAAGAAGAACATGGCATTAGGATTGGAGAAAGGCTGTGATTTGTGCATGATACAACCTTGATTACTAAAAAGCAAGAGGCCTTGAAGCACATGCTAATGAAGGCCAAAGACTGCAACTTTCAGTATAGATTCTCCCTCAACATAAACAAAACTTTCCAAATCAGATCAATACACAACACCATAATAAACAGAGCACTGACACTTTCCAGGATTTCATCTTGCTTGAATTCACAATCAATGCCTACAAGAGCAGCACTGGTCAAACCTGCTGGGAAAAACCTCTTAAAGATGTGAAAAGGCAGAGGTGTTACTTTGAGGACTCAGGTGTGCCTGACCTGAGCCAAGGCATTTTCAATTGTCTCATACGTATGTGAAAGCTGGAGAATGGATAAAAAAGATCACGATGCCGACAGAGCACATTGAATACACCATGGACTACCATAAGAATGAACAAATCCGTCTTAGAAGAAGTACAGCTAGGATGCTCCTTAGAAGCAAGGATGAAAGACTTCCTCATACATACTTTGAACATATTATCAGGAAGGACCGACCAGTCCCTGGAAAAAAGGGTTAGTGAAAAAGATGGACTGACACAATGGATGCAATGATAGGCTCAAATATAGCAAGAAGTGTGAGAATGGTGCAGGGCTGAGCAGTGTCTAACTTTGTTGTGCACAGGGCCACTATGAGTCAGCAGCAACCTGACAAGCACCTAAACCAGTAATTGGCTGTAGCCTTAAATCCAGTCATAGCGGTGACTCCGATCTGCAGTTGTATGAGGCTCCTAGGGTACCTTTATCTAAGGCTCTCCCTTGGCTAACAACCTTTGTTCAGGGGTTAAATCATTGAAGCGGAATGGACTGATATTGGCAGATAGCCCTTTTTAATCTCCAGCAAAAGTGACTATTCCCAGCCTACCTGTGTCCACGTCTTGTGCAAAGGCTACTTTGGAGGTTTCCATGACCTGGTCCATCCCTCTAAGGCAATGGTTCTCAATCTTCCTAATGCCGTGATCCTTTAATACAGTTCCTCATGTTGTGGTGACCACCCCCCCAACCATAAAATTATGTTCGTTGCTACTTCATAACTGTAATTTTGCTACTCTTATGAATCTGGTGACCCCTGTGAGAGGGGGGTTAGACCTCCAAAGGGATCGCGGCCTACAGGTTGAAGACCACTGGTCTTAGGACTGCTGGTGAACTGTGCTGAGCCTCCTGCTCCTGAATTCCAAAAAGCGGTGCAGAAGCAGCTGGAAGAGAGAACCAGAGTGGCGCAGTCCAGCAGCAACCTTTGGAAGACCCAATCAAAACTGCTGGGCTCCTGACGCACACACTGTGTGCAGGAAAGGAAGGCACTGCCGTGTGGGCAAGCAAAGCAGAAGAAACATAATTCCGGGGTGGGGGGAGGCACTCGTGATTTAGAAGATGACACTTAAAGGCCCAAACATCTCTAATGACTGGAACCCGAGTGAGCTTTGTTGACGCATGAACGCATCTTTGTCTTCAATCTTCACTTCCCTGTGTTTTCAACAGGACTCGACCGTACTTGTCCTCCAATGCAAAAATCCCATGTCCAATGACTTGGGTGTGTCACTTTAAAAGACGAGCCCTGAGAACATTTTGAATGACGGTATTCAGTAAGACCCATGTTTCTCTCTATCACACACGCACACTTCACATGCGCAAAGAAAGAAGGCAACTAAACATGGGTTTGAGTCTGGGCCTAGCTGAGGGATGGTGAGCAAGTTACTTAATCTCTGTGAGCCTTAGTGTCTTTATATACACAGGAAGAAAGGAGTGATTCTCACCTCACCAGTCTGTGGTACAGATTAAATATCAGTATACAGCAAGACTGTAACAAGGAGTTTCTTAAGGGCTAGTTTGGAGACATTTCAAGGCAAAAGAAGGTCAATAGATGTTCAACTACCTGACTAAAAAAAAATATTGTCTGAGCAGTCTTTAAGCCTATATGAAAATAAGATGAAAGGGGATGATCACGCATTTTGTTTCTATCATTACTTATTGTACTGCTTTATATATGAGGGGGCTTCAAAAACTTGGTGGAAAAAAATGGAATTAAAAGATAATCAGATTTCTCCACAAACTTTTTGAAGGCCTCTGGTATGTTTATACACATGGATAAAATATGCACTTGCTATTTGGAAAAGTCAAAAGGTAGAGGTCCACAGTCTCACAATTTTTTTTAAAAAGTGACAAAATGATACAGTGAATTGGCAGGTGGCTGGAAGTCTTGATAGCATCTATTCTGCTGGGGCTGTTTCTGAGTGAACTCCATTTGGAAGACACCCTCTGGATCGTTAGAGAGTCTTAACTGACAAACTATTTTAGTTAGGCTCCATCTGGCCCTAGTGGATAGACTCCAGTAGAGGGCTAGATTAAGCCCAAAGACCTCAGATGCAACGCTCTTCTAAGACTTGGCGAAGCGATAAGCAAACAGTGTTATGCTTTTTTTTGCACGACTCCCTTTAGCAGCAGTCCTTTCAGGAGCAAACAGACCGTGGTAGTGTGGCAGAATAGCCAGTTCTCGATATAAGATGAAAGAAGCCATCATTGGCAGAGTGTTTTAGGTCACCTCCGGTAGCTCTCTTAAAATTTTATCTCCTTCAGCGATGTCATAAACACTTGAGAAGTGATTCAATTTGAGGAAGCAACTTTTTAAAACGGAATACGGAGTACAATGCTTTAGAAATAGGAAGTCCAAGAATATTTCTAAAAAGAGAACGTTATAACCAACACCTTAAGAGATGGGACCAAATTTGTGGGACAGTTTCCACTGATAAGGTATCCAGGACTTCAAGGCAGTGAGGCGTCACTGCAAGGCTGCAGCTGGAGGTCCACAATTAGACATCAACTTTCCAAAGTATCCAGGTGACATACCCTCAACAAAGATCAAACTAGTTTGCATAAAGCCTCAGAGAATCTGGTCAGGGTGGACAAAAATCGAGTGGTAAACACGTAGGAACTGGACGGAAAACAGACAGGGTAACCCCCCAGGTCTCTCCCTCTACTCTTTGAAGCCACAGTTGGTCAGCTAAACCAATACTTGCTAACAAGACACACTGAAGTTGATAAGATAAATCCCAGCAAATAAACAAAAGCTTGAAGAGTTCCATTTGTCAGACATTTTTTATAATTAGAAATGTTAAAACAGAAAAAAAGCAAACAACAGGCAAGGCAAATAAATGATATCAAACACCAGAAGAAACCAAGCCATTGTTGACTGATACTCCTGTCCCAACTGCCGGATCTTACTCAGCTTAACCCCAAACCCAGCACTGTCAACCAATGAGGCAGCTCTGCCCATGGGGGGTTTCGAGCCAGGATTCTTTGAGTTTGACTTCTCTGTCTGGCACGTATTAGCTGTGTAACCTTGGATAAGACACTACACTCCTCTTTAGCGTCTGCGTCAGTACAATGGAGGTAGGTATGCCTACTCGCATGAAGAGTAAATAAACCACAAGTATAATGTAGGTGATAAGAGCATTACATCTTTGCAGTGTGACACCCGGCCCGTCTAGCAGAGCTTGTGTAAGCAAGAAGCAAATACCTGAGGTGTCACATGCATGCCTTCCTGGTGAGGGCCCTCTCTGGAGGATGCTGTTTCTATAAACAATGTGGGGCTTGTTTTGCTCCTCTTCATCCTCATCTTCATCAATGGACTGAAGTGGTTCAATAAAATAATCCCCATCATGGGTCTGGAATGTGCCCAACTGCAAAGGAAAAGAGAGAAGGGACCGATTTACCATAAAGCCACAATTGGAAGGGGAACATCAAGGGGACACTGGCAAGTAGAGAAGGCGCCATCTAACCCTGTCCGTTTCCTCACATGAGCTGCTTACAGTGAAAATGCTGCCAGCCTAATGTGGAGACAAGGAAAAAGCAAAAACAAAACCCTGCCAGCCAGTCCATGCAGGTGCCTAGCAATCCCAGAGGACAGGGTAGAACTGCCCCTTGAGTTTCTGAGATGGTAATGCTCCATGGGAGTAGAAAGTCCCGTTTTCCTCCAAATGTGGAGAAGCAGCTGATTGGTCTTCTCCATCTCATCAGTACCTTATCCTTGACGTCACTCTAACTGCTTTGATCTGCCATCCTGATTTGATGCTAAGAAATGGTTTCTTGGAGCCCAAGTTCTAGCCATTTGAATCCAGGCTATTGTAGGAAAACACTGGGAAAATTGGGCTAGTGTGAGCTCTAGAGGGTAACCGGCCCCACAGATGTCTTCTCTTGGATTCAAATTCAGGAAGCAGATGTTGAGCACAATGGACTCAAAGTGGTGCGCCTGTATCACTGGCACATGGTCATTTTCTAAGTGATTGTGTATAAAGCGCTGAAAGCAGACAACCCTCTGCTCCAGTCTTCCCACCAACATTGGCCCACATACCATGAAGTAGCTCTCCAACCACTCTGAGCCTGGGCTTCCTTATGTAAGGGAGGGTTACTGAGCAGACTAAGTGAGATAATGCAAGTAAAGTACTCAGCGAAGTGCCTGGCACAGAGTAAGGGCTTAAAGGTCATTAGTGCCTTTTGGTGTTACTGGTGTCTTAGTGCAGAAAGTTACTAGGTCTAGCAGAACAATGAAAGTGGCTCTGTCTCACAGACGAACTAATCATTACTTCATTGGCTAACATGTGGGGATAGCATAGTGCAGGGGCTGCCCATGCTGACTTTTACCACCAGGAAGTAACTCTTCCAGCCTCCCCACATCTCCACCAGGTTTTATAAAAAGGTAAGTGATGACACAGGGTGGAAAAACACAAACCAAACAGTACAAGAACAGAGAAGAGTGGCTGTGCCATTTGAGTTGAGCATTGTGTCTTTCTTTACTTTTCTATACACTGGTTGTGACGGGGGCGGGGAAGAAAAGAAAACCAACAGGCCAAGAGAAATGACTGATGACTGTCCTTACGTGTCAGTAGCAACATCAGCACTCTCCAGGAGCACGTTAAAAATTCGAGTCATAGAGCTTCACTCCATAGCTACCTGTTGCTGTTGAGTCATTTCTAACTGCGGACTTCATGTGTGACCAGAGTTGAAACTGAGCACTGCAGGGTTTTCAGTGGCTGATTTTTGTCAGAAGCAGATTGCCAGGCCTCTCTTCTGAGGTGCTTCTGAGTGACCATGAGCTTCCAACCTTTCAGTTTGGTGCTGAGCACATTAACTCCTTAACCATTTGCCCCTACCGAGCCCACACCTCTAGAGAAAGTCCATGTAAGGGATAAAGTTTGTGAAGCACTTGGCAAATACATTGGTTCCCAAATCCAACTAATGTCAGACTGGCCCAGAAAGTTTAAAAAATATATATATATATATATATATATATATATATATATATACACACACACACACAGATATACATACACACATATATCTATATCTATATATATATTCAGATTTAGGAGCACCTTCTCATATACACAAAACCCTTAATTCTAGGAATAGAGCTTAGAAATATATATATATATAAAAGTTCATGGGATTCGTGAGCTGCTGGTTTAAGTAAAAGGCAGTTCTGGTACCATCATGCTGAGTAAATGGTTACCAGAAACGACTGCTCACTAGACACAGTAATTCGTTATCAGACAAAAGAGGACTAAAATTTATTCTCACTCAGTTATAACAACTGTTTTTCATTATACAACTCTATAGTGTTTTCTGAGCACTAAGCCGGAAGCATGCTGCCATGTGTGAAACCGACCAGAGACAGAATATAAATCGTGGGAAGGTCTGGCCCATTTGGTAAATAGGAAAACCGAGGCCTCCTCCAAAGGAAGTGGCTTGTCCAAAGTTCTTCAGGGAAGCAGACACAGCTGGATTGTGCTAGTATCAAGTCTAGAACTCAGGTGGGCTGGCTCAGTCTTGGGTCTTTTAGCAAAGAACTACAAAGTTCTCTTTAGGACTGCACATTCAGTCTCTGTCCTATAGCTAAGAGCATGGGCCAAAAAGACTGGGCTAGAACCTCTAATTAGCCATGGGATCTTGGACAGGCCTCAAATATTCACAGCCTATGTATGAAAGAGCAATCACAAAACAATCCCTTCATTGGATTAATGTGAGGGTTTGAATAATAAAGCATATGTAAAGTACTTACTACAGCACCAGGCATATAATAACTCAATAAATGGAAGTGACGTGATACCAAAGTCAAATTGGCTGTTGTTTCATGAGACAGTTTCTGGGCCCAAGAGTTTGCCTTTCTTGGATAAGGGGATCATTTAGTCCAACAGATGTATTAAGCAACTGGGATACACACAACGACACCGCAGAGCATAAATGAATTGATGCTGCCACTGCTCTCTAGGGGATTTGACACATAAACTAAGGGTTGTAGCACAAAGCAGATCCTCAGGAAGCATCATATGAGAGATAAAGACAAGTGTCGGAGAAGGTGGGGAGGGAAGAGATGGCATCGGTTTGAAGGATTAAGTAATGATCTCCCAAGGAAAACAAGTCAGTCATATTTGTAAGGAAAGCTGTGTTTTCAGCATGAAAGTTGGCTGGGCAGACTGAGCAAATTCAAAGATGCACAGGCAATGAGACAGGACTAAAATGAGTTGGAATTCAGGGAAATGAACATAAAACAGGCAGCCTGCAATATTGGATTTGTGATGCCGAGGTGAAGAGATGAGCAAGGATGTGAGAGTATACTGTAACTGGGCCTACGTGCCAGAAGGAGTTTTTATTTCTCCAGGAGGAAGTTGGGAGCCAAGTACATAAAGCACATGAACAGGGGAGTGATGCATTCCTGTCACCTATAGTCTGTTAAAAACCTCTGGCACAGATTGGGGAGAAATGACTCCAGAGAAAAAGCCAGATGGAAATATTTCTTGGACACGGGTCCCATTGAGAAGGCATAAGAAGGAGGAATACATTAAGGATAGTGAGGTTACGGAGTGGTAACTGACCCACTTGAGACAGAATTGATAAATGATGGTATTGGGGATGGGGCTAGGAGGTGCACTGACAAGGCCCAACCTGAAGAGTGTGGATTTCCATAAGGGAAAGTGTCTCAGCAGGATGGATAAATTCCTGTTGTAAGATAGATACATCTTAAAGCCAGAGTCAAGCCTGAGGATATATACAAAGAACCTATCTTTAATATGTACGCTAGACCCCCACCCCAAACCCACCCCCACAGCAGCAGGCTGCAAATCAAACACGACATAAATCAACCTATAAAAGTCCGAGCAGCCTTTTCTGAAGCTCTTAGCCACTTAGCCCACAGTTGCCAACCAGACCACGTGCATGTTACCTCCTAAAATTGGCCAATAGAAATTAAGGTCCAGAGCAGCAAAATATTTATACAAGTGCCGGGGCCACTCAGATTCACGGGTTATGGAGGCGGGGAAGGAGGAGGAGTAAAAGACTGTTTACCAATTTGATGTGCACACATAACTCTCAGATCTTAGAATTGGGGGGTTCTCTTTTGGGATCTGGGCCTCTCTGTCTGATGACTGCGTTCTGGTGCTCGATTTCTGGCCACCCTGCCTGAAGAATGGGAGGAATTCCTGAGCTCTGGCCCCTGGTTTTGGGCAGCGAGGACTCATCGCCCCCCCCCCCCCCAACATTCTCAGCCAGGAGTTCTGGGCACCGCAGCTGGTGGCTACCGAGAGTTACCCCCATCCCAGTAAGTCAGCAGGCTGGACATGTCTTCCAGCCTTCAACCCTCGCTCCCCAGCCAGTCATCTCTCCGTTACAGAGAAGGATGAAGCATTGCATCCAGACAAGAAACGCGTAAGATCCACTAATGACAGCGCAGAGTTCAGCACCCCAGGTAAGTCTTCAAACCACCACCTAAGAAAAATGACGGGAGGCTTGTGGGTGCTCAGGGGAAAGTAAATGCACCATTTGGGAGCCGAACGTAAATGGCCCATAAATAGCGCTGTGCGTTCGGAGAGCCTGACCCTGGAAAGTTTCTGCGTCACAGTGTCGCAGCTCACTGGCACGTTGCGAGGGAAAGTCAAGGACCCTCCCTCTCTGAGGCCAGAATGTTGCCAACGGGCATCACGCTTTACGCGGAGGGGAGGGCGGATGCCCGGTGAGACCTGCTGGGGGGCAAGTGGCAGCAGAGGACGGCCACGGCCAGGGAGCTTGCTTGGGTCCCCGCTAAGTGCGTACTTGGCAGGGAGGTGGCCGCCCCGCCCTCTCGCTCTTTTTCGCTAAGAAAAACGGCGCCACGGGCTCCCCACCCCGCCCGGCTCTGGGGAACCCCTTGAGTGGTAGAAACGCCGGGAAAACGATAACGCTCTGGTTGCCTCCCCCTACTCCTGCTTTTTGGGGTCACCCCGCCAGCAGGGTGCAGCGTCGGACTGCGCCTCACCCCTCCCACCCCCACCCCCCAACTTCCACCTTAACTCGAAGCTTGCGGACCGAGCCCCTCCCTCTCCCCGCCCTCCGAGCCCTGGGCCCGCCCCTCCGTGCCGCGGACGGGACCGGTGCCCTGTCAATCCCGCTCAGCCTCGGGACTCTGGCCCCGTGAGCACGCCGGGGCGGTCGATTCCGCACGGGCCCTCCCTCCGCTACGGGCAAGGGACTCCCGGGAGCCCAGGCCAGCGAGCCTCCGACCACACTCCTGACTCGCCACAGGCCACCAACGCGTCACGGTCACCCTGCCTTCCGCGGCTCCGCTCCCGGGCAGGTCCGTCTGCAGCTGGGACCAGCGACTCTAGCAACTTGCTACGAGTTTGAAACCGACCCCCGGGCCGCCTCACAGTGATGGGCCGAGCGCAGCCGGAGCGCCCGCCAACACTGAGCACCCCCCGGGGCGGATGCGTGCGCTCCTCGCCCGGGTGAGCGCACGCACGGAGCGCAGCCGCCAGACGGGAGGACGGGGACGAGTTTCGCGCTGATCTTCAGCGCCGCACTGGTGCCAGGGGAGCCCGACGCTGCTAGGGTCTCCGGTCTGGAAGGCAATTCAGTCTTCCAGGAGCGGACGCTTCAGAAGGACGACGAGGCGGAGGGGAGGGAAGGGGAGGGGAGAGAGGGACCGTGCGCCCACTTACCATTCCCGAGCAGAGGCTGATGACCGCCCGGTGCTCGGACTTGGTATTGACATGGCCTTTGTAAAAACAGTGCTTGAGTTCGGCTTCCTCCTCGGAATAAAACTTGGTCTGGTTCACCCCGGGTGCCCCGAGGAGGGTGACAGTGAACCGCGGAGCAATAAATCCGGCATGGGCGGTGAGATTAAATAGAAACTGCTGGCCGAAGGCGGAGAGGCGGTAATGCGCCCGGGAGGAGGTAGAGGAGGAGGCGAAGGCAGGCCAGGGGTCAGAGGCAGAGTTAATGCTCCGTCGCCGCCTTTTGAAGTGCACGTTCCTGGGAAAGGGTTCTCCGCGAGCGTTCACTCGGACGGGGGAGGCGATTTCGTATTCGCTCAGGGTCTCTAGTAATTTCACTGCAAAGAGAAGCATAGGTGCATGAACCAATACAGTTGGTTGCAATTTTTTCATATTTCACTTGAAGGGGTACCATATTTCACAGGGGTACCCTGATTTATTGCCTAGGGCTTTCCCCTTTCAAGTCAATCCCTTTTCTTACATTCAGGGGACAAATATTTACTGAGCACCTACTATGTATGTTCCGGTTACAAGAGCCCTGCTAGTCTCTGAAGGAGTCACCATTCGGAGTCAGAATAAGCAAGTCAAAATACACAACATAATTTCAGACCCTGATAAACACTCCGAATAAAATAAAACGTGCCGCTATCTAGTGCCTCCAGGTTACTAAGTAACTTTGGTTTGGGGCAGGGAGGTGGGAAGAGAAAATTTCGGGCTAAAAGCTGGAGGTGGGAGGAGAGTTGACTACATTCATCTCTGTGTCTCTCCTTAGCAATTGGCTGGGAAGGATCCAAAAGAGAGAGGGTGCAAAGCGGAAGATAATTCTTTCGAGGAAAAGAGGAACGAAGAGGGTGGGGTCCCGCCTGGGCGAGCATGGGCAGGGGGCAGCTTTGGTGACAGGGGGTCCGGGGACCGGAGGAGGGGGACGCAAAGCCTTGTTACCTTGCCTCGGGTGCAGCCTGTCCTTGCGCACGGCCGCGGCGGCGTCTGGGCTCCCCATCTCGGCCAGTTCTTGCACCAGGAGGGTTAGCAGTGCGGCCCAAGAAACAAACTGCATGGTGCTCCCCACCCCTCGCCCGCGACCCTCAGGGCTCCCCACCCCTGGCCCCGCGATCCACACAGCCTCCCTCTCGCCCTCCTCGGCGGCGGCGAAGCGAGCGCGCGGAGCCCGGCGGCCGGCGCCAACTTTTGACTGGCGGAGCCGCTGAGGTCTAGCAGCGCGGGTCGGGACTGCGCTCGGCTGAGCAACGCCGCCGCCTGCCGTGAGCTGCGCCGCGCGGGCCGCAGGAGGAGCCGCGGAAGCCGGAGAAGAGCAGCACAGGGGCTCCGCCACTCGGCCGCATAATGTCCCGCGAGCCGGCTGGAGAAGGCGCGGGGAAGCGTGCGCTCCGAGGCGCGCTGCGCGCCCTGTGCTGGCGGGGATAGCGGAGCGGCTTCTTGAATGGGGGGCTGCGGGGGGGGGGCGCGGGTCGGGCGCCGTCGCTCAAATACCCCGGGTGCACGCCTCTAGGAGGAGGAGGAGAGGGGAGGAGAAAGCCAGGCGAGCGGGGACCGCCTCCTTTCAGACCGCGTCCCCAGCCCCGGCCAGCCGGTGCGGGACTCCCAGCTGGTGGCCCCGCCGGCTGCCAGAGGCGGAGGTCCGAGGCGCCAGGACTGTGGTGGCGCTGGCTCTCTCCCCCCAACCCCCCTCGCTGAGGTGGGCTTTGCAGAGACACCCTGCCTCAGAGCGAGGAGAAAGTTTTCTCCTGTCCCCGGCGCGGCAGTCTTTTCTCCCTTCTTTTTCTCTTCTGACCCTCGGTCCGTTTCTCAGCGCCCCTCCCGCTGGGCCCCTCTCCTTCGGCCGCATCCCCCCGCCCCACCTCTCCTCTTCCCTTTTCTCACCTTCTCTCTGCCCCCATCTCCTGCGTCTGTTTCCACTGGCCCTTCGCCACTCCTCCCTTTCCCCCTTTAGAATTTTCTGCCTCCTCGTTGGGTTTCTGACAAATGACAGTGGCCCCGGGCAAGAGCGCCTTTTCTTGGCCCACAGTTTCTCACCCAGGCGATTTTGGCACCGGAGCCCCGCTTCTAACTCAGTCGCCCCAAATCCAGAGTGTCAGAGTTGGGATTTTTAATCCTGCGATTCTGGCTGTTTCAAATCGACGCCCCCACCCCCCACCCCGCTGCAAATTCTCAAAGCTTGTTAGCTGTGCTTTCCCTAACCCCTGCCCGCGTCCATAGCTTTCTGCAGGTCCACGGTCCAAAAAAGGTTAAGAACCGCTCTTGGCAACTAGAGGGGCGGGATTTAGGCGCCCCTGGCGGCCCCGGGATTAGTTGTTGCTGTTGGAGGGGGGAAGGGGGGGAGCGGGTGTTAAGGGAACGTCCTGGATCCCAAGGGCAAGCACCAGTCCCTGAAGGAATTTTTTCAATCACTTCCGCTTGCATTCAGCCTAGGAGATGCTTGGATTGACTGAAAGCAAACACTTGTACACTACTACCTCCGCTTTGGGATGTAATTCTGAAAGTCAGAAGTTATGCCAGAAAAACCAGATGTGTGTGTGTGTGTGTGTGTGTGTGTGTGTGTGTGTGTGCAACAGAAGGGAAATGGCACTTGTAGTTAAAAGACGTAATTAAAAAATATTCACCCAAGTGTCCCAGTGCTGAGATGGTTACTTTTTAGGTAACTACCCAAACTAGGGACCAAATACCCTTTTCTGGAAAATATTAGCACATGTAAAGGGAACAAATAACCTGAGAAAACAGAAGTTTCCTAAAGAAGCTTTTAATTCAAGTGGTGCCTAATGACACCACTGGAATTTCATAATGGGTGTATACAATGTAAACGTGGTAAAATAGGGACACTTACAATGTGTACATACAGAGACTTAAAGAGTGACGTTTAAATCTTTTTTTCTGAAATCTTCAAAAGAGTTCACTAAATTACATCTCTTCATGCATAATCTTTCTTTGCGTCATTATAAAATAAAATTCCTCACAAATTAAAGTGCCTAGGGTTCCTGACACTTTAGCAAGGAATGGGGGGAGGGATCAGGAATTCAATATACTAACCGATACCTAGAGAAACTGATACTACAGGGCTTCTGATACAACCTAATCATTTCCAAATGGACTGATAAGGTGGGAAGGTAATAAGTCTCTCTGGGGGCCTCTGGAGCGCCCGTGGTGTATGGTTATGCATTGGGCTGCTAACCACAAAGTCAGTAGTTTGAAACCACTGGGCACTATGAAGGCAAAAGATGGGCTTTCCACTCCCCTAAAGGGTGGCAGTCTCAACACACACGCACGTTCTAGCCTGTCCTAATGGGGTCACTATGAGTTAGTATTGACTAGATGGCAGTGAGGTTATTATTTTTTTTAATCTCTTTAGTTTATTAGCTCATCTTCAAATTAAACATCTGTAAGAATCAATGATTCTTAAGAAGATGTGTTGTAAATCAACGGTTATGCAGTGTTCTGCTCTGAAATACGTGGCGTTTCCAAGAGTTGGGAGTCCACAAGACAAATTATTTTTTTACTGATATTTTGGATCAACTGTGTTAAGATGTATTCTTTATACATGTATAAAGAATGTACACACACACACACACACACACACACAGTTTGGAGACTTGTTCTGTATGGATACCTAGAATCAGCAGAGTCCAGCACAAAAGAGTTGAATCCATACTGAGAAGTTTGCACTGAAAGAAGCAGAGCTATTTAAGGTCACCAGGAATTAATGGAGAGACGGTTTTCATCTTATCTTCTTCTGGGCTTTGTTGGTTTGGAACATGATTGTAGGATAGGTGGGAGCCTCCAATTCCCAAGAAGTGATGAACTGACATCAATCACTTGGGAGAGACCGTCTGATGAGCGGAAATGAGAGAAGACATCACAAAAGATTTACTATCTCAACACCATGGGAAACAGCAGGAAGGAGCTGTGAAGCAAAGGCATGTATTTCCACAGAAAGGGAAAGTACACACCCAAATGACAGGGAGGGACCAGAATGAAAGCGAATAGTTTCCTGAGTGGGTGAGTTCTAGAATACTGGGTAGCACTGAATACTGTCGAGGGAAGAACCAACCAGGAAATTCATGGTTGCCTGAGCTCTGTGGCTCTGTGACCTTGGGCAGTGCTCTCTGATCCTGTTTCTTTTCCTCCCTGGAGCCACTGAGTGAGCTGGAACTCAGCCAACCTTTCGCATATTAGGTGAGCACTTAACCATTACACCACCAGGGCTTCTTTACAGACTGTTAGCAAGGTGTCCTGGTGGCATAGTGGTTACAAGTTGGACTGTGATCAAGGTCAGCAGTTCAAAACTTACCAGTTGTTCTTTGGGGGGAAAGATGGGGCTTTCCCATATATCCATAAAGAGTTACGGTTATGGAAAACCACAGGAGCAGTTCTACCCTGTCCTATAGAGTCTCTATGAGTAAGCAAGTAGATGCCAATGAGGTTTTGTTTTATATCGCAAACTTGGTAACATGTTTCATTAATTTTATGCAAAACAAAGCAAACTAGCGTTGACATGAGATGTTTTTATTCAAAAGTCAATTTTACCCGTGTATTGTCTTGAATAATATATGCACATATCTCTCCAAAATTTAGGTAAAGATATAATTCATTAAAAAGTCACTGTCTGTTGTAAGGGCACGAGTCAGGACAATTGTTAGGGACCATGCTAGCTAGCATGGACTATCATGATTCACCAGGACTCTCAAACTTGCCTCTGAACGTCTCCTCTCCTAGTTCACGTCATGATTTTGTTGTTACTTATTGTTGTTGTTGCTTGATATCTTTTGTTTGAATGAAGCTACAAGAGAGTAAGACTAAACTTATCCCTCCAAGGAAACACATAGGAGTGGGTGGGGACATCTCTGACCTCCTCTGGCTTCCCTATTGCCATGGGGCAGAAGTCAGACATGCCTTCGTTCTCCATCATTCTTTATTCTGCCACCAGCCATTCCTCCCATGACCTTCCGCTTTTCTGCTGGGTTCGATGGCCACCAGAACTCACAGCACTCAAGATGAAAGTGCAGGGCAGGAGCAGGGAGTTATTGGGGAAGCCAATGGGTCACCACAAGCCAAGATCAGAAATCATCACGGATATGACCCTTGGCCCACAGCAGTACCTTTCCTTAGCCAGCAGTCAAGTCTTTCTTCTGTCCTCAGCCTCGTGGTTCCTTGGCCTCTGCCTCTGCGGGCCAGGCAGGTAGCCTGCGGCCCTGCCTCACAGTCTCAGAATCTCAATCCTTCCCCTTGTCTTGTTTCCTTGTCTCAGCCTCTGGTCTCAGCCTAGATCCTTTGGTCTGCCTCATGGTCCCCGTAAGTGACAATGTTTCTATGCTAACTATAGAGTGGAGAGCCCATTCCATCTTTGTAATCTGTTCTCAGTCCGAAAGTTCCACTGAAGCCTGTTCACTTTGGGTGACCCTGTTGGAATTTGAACTACCAGTGACATAGCATTCAACATCACAGCAACACACAAACCATCACAATATAACAAACTGACAGACAAGTCAAGGAAAGGATCGAAGCTGTCAAGGATATTGTCATGCTTGGATCCACAGTCAATGCTCATGGAAGCAGCGGGCTTGAGATCAGACAACATGCTGCATTGGATAAATCTACTGCACAAGACCTCTTTAAAATGTTGAAAAGCAAGATGTAACTTTAAGGTCTGAGATACACCTGATCCAAGCCATGGTATTTTCAGTCGCCTCATATGCATGTAAAAATTGGACATTGAATAAAAGAAAGACAGAAGAAAAACTGATGCATTTGAACTATGAGGGGTACCCCCCCCAAAAAATCTGAATTGTGTTGTGTGGAGTAGAACTTTCATAGTAAGCATCGCCCCCCCCCCCAACCTCCCCTCCCCGCCAGCTAACTAGACAAGCATCCTGCAGCTCTCTCTGAGTTTGTGCACCCAGTGGCGTCACCTGGGAAGGTTTCCACTGGTCACAGTGAATTTTTTTGTAAAAGCAGTTTTACTCAAACCTTGTTTTTTTGTGTGTGTGATACCCAATTTAAGAGAACAGCATACGGCTGTGAAATTTTGTTTCCTGCTGAGGGAAA